TCATGATATTTATTAGCATGAAGTTAAGCCAATAGGATGTAGTATTATCCTTATCCTATAGCCTATTGATTTAAGCTATCATAATCTTCGAACTTTAAATCATATGGACTGTACTATAAATTATTTTTATTTGAATTTCATGCTTTTGTCTGAATTTTATGTTCTTTTTATCTTTCTTATTTTTTCATAAAATATTACCCCTTATGTTAAAAATGTTGTTACATGTTGGCTATTATTACCAACCCATTGCAACAATTTCATTTAAAAATTCGAATAAATTCTTAGAAATGCCAAATATTGGGTGGAGGCTATGTAGAAACATCAACCGATACAGGCATTTTACTGCCAGAAAAATTTGGTAATTATTCCATGCTAGAGGGATCGGTAGATATTACAGGCTACTGAGCTCCAGATAAATCCATTTAAATGCTCACTGTTCACATTTCCGGGCTAACTTTTTTATGAAGAAATATTTAAAGGTACTGGGTTTTTAAATCCATTATAACGTGCTGTAACCATTAAGTAATCGATTATCGGGTAGCTGGTACAGAAAATTCGGTTTACCTGTATTACTCAGAGCTGCTGCTTAATATTTATCTACCGACGGCTCATGTTGATGTGATAATAACCTTATATGATTACAAACTGTGGATGCTTACTTAGAAGGTAGGTACCGCACTTAAATTCTCCAGCATTATTGTAGAACAAGAACGTTGATAGTTTTTAATAACAAGCGACGGTAAGGTGTGCCAGATAACATTTCATAACAATGATTGAATTTCTTCCGATTACCGTCGGCATTTCGGCTGAAGTTCATTAGCTTTAGATCCTCTCCCACCGGAAGCTATTTCGATTGTGAAGTTCCTAACCTAGATACATACAAGTTTTAAACAATTCAATATAGGCCCATTTTCTTGTATAACCCTTATAAATCGTTCCCACTATATATCAGTATGTATTTCGATAAGTAAATTTCAAAACGACTTAGATTTACTTTAGATTTTTTTTTTTAAATTGTCAATATAACGCCAATTATTATATGATGGAAGGTTAAAATGAATTACGTAATTGGGCAATAGTCCAGCCGAAATAGATACTTAAAATTAAATAACAAACAAATACGTGTAAAGCAAAATTTTTTGTCTAGAGCAAGAATTTAGCGTTGAAAATGAAATGCTAAAAGCGGATGAAATGTCTTTTTTTAATTTTCTCGAAAATATTTTTAGGCCATAAGATTCTCTACAAAAAATATATATTTTTTTCATACTAAAATCTATCATTCCTTAGATATCGCTATTATCGTATTAGCCCGTCCTGTCAAGTTTGGAAAATATCGGATTGTCCCATCGCTTAAACGAGATACATAATATTTTGTTTTTTAGTTTTTAATTTTTGAGAAGAAGGTACCAGATGTCGACCGGCATTTTCTATTTTCAAATCGACATCTCCGGAATTGCAACTTTTTATTAAAAAAAAAAAACATTGGGACAATTTTTTTTAGATAATTAGAAGGTATACATCGTTTGTTTGATCAAAATATTGATATATTGCAGAACCTGTAAGTATGTTAAAATGTTACTACTACAACTGATTTTTCCTTTGTTCGGTCATTTATTATTCTGGAACAGGCCAGTAATTTACCAAAACTTCTGCAGTGCTGGAAGGTACAAACCAGCACAGAAAAGAAGGAGGAGGCCCCATAATGTAAATATATTCGCGATTTAATTGGATCCGTCTGTCTGTTGAAAACAGATGTAGTAATTTGGCGTAATAGTTACAGTCTTCGAAAATTGGTGTTGAAAAAGCTTATTTCATAGTTCCAAGTATTTATATATAAGTGTACCTCCCGATCTACCATATTTAAACGACATTTTCCAATGTAATGGTTTAAATTTCGGTATTAAGATATTGCGAGGAGTTCTATGTCCACTGGCAAATCATTGCGGGTTCACGTTTTCTTATAGCCCCTATGTGACATTACATTCCGAAATTAGGTTTTAAATGATTTTAGCCACAAGGGACAACTTGAAACTGAAACTCGTAACAGACACCAACCCTTGTGGAAGAATTAAGCCTGTGTAGGTTCAAGTTTTTTCATGTCATGATTTTTTGAAAATTTTAACTGATTTCACTTGAACTTCCCATTTAAATGGAAGTCGTTCGAATATTGAATCCCGATACTTTTAAAGGTTCGGTCGAACTTAACGACGTTTTACTAAATTTAATCAAAAATGTTCCCATGTTATGCACATAGGAATTATGTATTTAGGGTAAAAGGGTTAAGTTCATCATTCCGTTTGTAATTTATTAAAAACATAATTTTAGACCCAACAAAGTATATATATTCTTGAACAGAGTAAAATTCCAATTTAGCCCTGTCCGTCCGTCCGTCCATCTGCCAGTCTGTTTTAATTACGCTAGAGTCAAAACGAATTAACATAGGAAGCTAAAATTTTGCACAGATATCAGTCTATTGTCTGCAGGCAGGTCAAGTTCGAAGATGGGATATATCGGTCCACGATATGATAATGCAGCCTTATAACGGTATCCACGATATTCGGTATTTAGATGATTGCACCCAAATTAGTCAATGGAATTGCCTGAAAATCCAGGCAACGAGTTCCTTCTGAGTACTTTACCCCCTAGTAGACTATTGTCTATATAGGTCCCAACAGTATCCCCGATATTCAGTATTTTGATAATTTTAGGAACATTATTCACCGGAATTGTTTCAAATTTCCTATTTGTAGTTCGTAGTGGATACTACACCACGTGTTTGTATAGGCCCCATATTCGCTATTTAGATGATTTTAGCGAAATTTTTACCGGAATTGATTCAAATTTCGTATTTAAAGTTCCTATTGGGTACTACAGCCTATGACAAAAAATTGACTCACGTCTACGTATAGCCCCCAATATAACGATATCTCCCGAAAATCGGTATTTTGATCATTTAAGCGATATTATTAACCGGAATTGTATGAAATTTCGTATTTGCAGCTTGTATTAGGTACTACAACCTATGACGGAAAATTGTCTATGTAGGCCCAGTTCTTCGTATAGCCCACACATAACGGCACCTGCCTTTATTTGGTATTTTGATGATATTCGTGGCATTATTCATCGGAACCGACGAGATGTCCCGATATTTAGTATTATGGAATAGCCTGAGTTTACTATTTCAAGTTTACAGAAAATAGACCACATAATTATCTGTATATACAGGACAAATTATCGATATAGCCCCCATATAACGAAACCCGCTGATATTTGGTCCTTTATTTAAATGAATATAGTAATTTTATAGAGTAAGCTGTAAGTTCCGCCCTACACCATTTGAAACGTTAAAAATTCTGTTAAAATCTTACAAATACCGAATGCAGTCGTTATATTAGGGTCTATATGACGACGTGGGCCTGCATATGCAACTTTTGTCAAATACCATTACAATATTCAAATGAAGAACCTAAAAACAAAACGGTGAATAATGTAGCTAAAATCATCAAAATGCCGAATATCGGAAGGTGCCGTTATATGGGGGCTATACCAAAACGTGAACCTACATGGCCCATTTTCAATATCAAAAGTCCTATAGACATAATATACATTTGAGTAAAATTGTATCAACCTACTTCATTTCGTTCGGAAGCTAGAGTGATTTCCACAGTCGGACGGACATCGCTAAGTCGACATAGAATTTTATGCTGATCAAAAATATATATACTTTGTGGGGTCTAAAATGTATACTTTGAGGTGTTACAAACGGAATGACAAACTTAATATACCCTCCATACTATGGTGAAGGGTATAAAAGGGGTTTCTAAGTCAGTAAAGCGATACGCATTAACCGGTTTAAATACAAACTATTTATGACGTATTTTTCGAGACTTGGAAACATTATATGTAGCATAGATTTTTTTCCAAAAAAATATGCGATTCAGGACAAATGGAACAAATATAGCTCGAGGCAATATTTAAATGTTTAAAAAGGCTTAGATCCCAGGAACGTACGCAGGGAAGCCCTAGACCAGGGTACCCTCTAAAATTATAATTTTCTGATATTTTTATATATATCTCATGGAATATTTAATTTTTTGCTATTTGGCTTCTAAATTACATTGCCGATAGGTCCCGGCCGCAAATAACTAGTTTTGAAGTTATTGTCAAAATTTCATCTTTGAAATCCGTCCTTCGAAAATTGGTGCATTTTAAATATTTACATTTATTTGTCTTTTATGTCATTCGGTTATAGTTTTTATGTTTTATGATAGAGGTTACGAAAAAGTTTGAATATATTTTCATGAGATTTTAATATTTTACACAAGGCATTCATAAATTGTGTTTAACACTGAAATCAAACAAAATACCACTCTTCAATTATGATTGGGCACAGATTATTATTGTTTTTTATTTAAGTTTGATTTTTTATTTGTAAATAAACTAAAAAAAACTGCTTCAAATACCCCAAACTTTTTTTGTTTGACCAAAAAATTCCATATTTGAGAATTCCTGAAGATTTTCTTCCGCAAAACTGTTTTGGCTTCATTAATGTTGCAATTAATTAACATAATTATTATCAATTATTCATGATTAAATTTAAACCGCTGAAGCGCATTGTCTTGCCTTATGCCGAAATTGCACTAATTAACCTCCACATTCACAGGCAAAAGAACACATGGACAGAGCGAGGCACACACACGCACACATACACTAACGGCGAAAATAGTTAAGCACTTAATTTAAGAAATCACTGTTTGGTTTATTTTGATTTCGATGTTTTTTTTTTGTTGATTTGTTGTTGTTATTATTATTTATTTAATTAATTGATTAATTGCATTCACACAGTTTGGTTGGTCGGATGTTTGAATCCAAACGTAAGTATTTTTTTTGTCATTCTAAACATAATTCGCGTATCGCCGAATAATGAGAGACTTCATTGCGAACGTTACAATTGCATTTTTTTATTCAAAACGGGGAAAAATACCAAAAACAAACCGTACTTGTTACCCGCCTGATTGCTGAAAGCGTACTGATTTTGATTATTTGTTATTACGGCGTAACAAGCACAGCACAGCACACCGCAAAAAAGCAACGTAAGTCCGAACAACCGATTTGTTATTGCCGTTTTCTGTGTGTTTTGCACTGTGTTGTCTTCCTTCTTCGTTGTTGCTATTGCTTTTGCTGTTGTTGCTGCTGCTTCTGCTTGTTTGTTGTGTTGGCGACGACGACGACAACGGCAACGACGTTGTCGTCATCATCGTAGTAGTTAATAGTGGTGGTGCTGGTGTTTGGTGGTAGTAGTGTTAGTAGTCGACAGCCATGCACTAAGCTCAAGAAGCTCCACACCGCACAAAAGCACGCTCAAAATCGTATGAAAGACGACGATGATGGCACACAGAACCCAAAAAAGCAGAAAAACAACACAACAAAGAACGGCAATACTGGAGGTTGTACTCGCACTCGTCGCAACTAAAACCACACATCATACATATCACCAACACATGGCCCAACCGAACGACCGAGCGACCGGTGGGGCCGAACAAACTAAAACCGACAATAACAAAAAAAGTTATAGAGCAGTAACAACAACACCGGTAGACAGGACAAAAACACATTTATTTTGAGTAGCAACAACAACAACAACAAAAAACTTCCATAACTACAACACATCAAACCAGAGAGGGAGTCGAGTAGTGAGTAATAAAACATCATTACAACAAAACGATGATAGGCACAATAACGATGATGATGATAAACACACACAGACACACTTCTAAATCAAAACAACTCCCCACTGAACCATCATACATCATCAGCCGTGACCACCCAACCCCACTATCCTCAACCCGTAACCACTTTCAGCAACAAAATAAAAATCACTTTTCGTCATCGCACTTGTGTTTTTGTTTGAACTTCTCGTTCAATCCACTCGAACTCCACGGCCGGCGATATGATAGCACGTCTATTGCCAAACTAAACTGCAAAATTATAAGAGTTCTCAACTAAACTACTCGTACCTCGATTTAGTCGTCATACCAGTCATCCTCCACAAACAGACACTCGCTGCTCATCGCAGGACACATTTCCAACTAGAATGTATAGCAGCTCCCCGCGACATCTAACCAATTCTTTTTTTATGTGTTTACTTCTGTCGTATAAAGGTTGTGTTGTTTTTGTTGTTTTTGCACAAACATAACAATACTAGTTTGTTGTCATCGTCGTCATACTAGAAAGTTCAGTCGGCATTTTATTCCTCGTTCATTCCATACAACATTCATTCATTCATTCATGCTGGACAAACAAAACACACATGGTTGACAGGGTTGCCAAAATGAAGATACAATCTTTTAAGAGGTTCCTCTATAACATTAATGCATATATAATTTTTATACCCCTCACATACGTTTGTAACTCATCAAAATAATAATTTTAGACCTAAAAAAGGCTATATATTCTTAATCAGTGTAAAATTCTACGACGATTTAGACCTGTCCGTTCGTCTGTTGTAATCACGCTAGAGTCAAAAAGAATTAAGATAATGAGCTATAATTTTGCACAGATCAGTATTTTGTCTGTAGGCAGGTCAAGTTCGAGGATGAGCTATATCGGTCCACGATATAAAGGTAATTCCCGATTTTGCGGTATTTTGATTATTTTAGCGACATTTTTTACTGGAATTGTTTCAAGTTTCGTATTAAAAGTTCGTAACAACCTATGACGGAAAATTTCCAATGTAGGTCCACGCCTTCATATAGCCCACATATAACAGCACCTCCCTTTATTCGGTATTTTTATGATTTTAGCGACATTATTTACCGGAAGTGTTTCAAATATGCTATTTGAAGTTCGTAATGGATACTACAGCCTATGACAGAAAATTGTCTGTGCAGGTCCAAGTATTCGTATAGCCCCCATATAACGGTACCTGCCGATAGTCTTTGATAATTTTAGCTTTGATATTTTGATAAATTTAGCTACATTGTTACCGATTTTTTTTAAGTTTCGTATTTGAATTTTGTAATGGCTTATGACAAATATTACCATGTCCATGTCGTCGTATAGACCTTAATAGAACAGCCACATTCGGCATTTTTAAGAATTTAACAGAATTTTTAACGGATTTTATTGTTTTTGAGAATTGCCAAAATCGTTTCAAATGGTGGAGGGCATTCAGAGTTCGGCCCAGCCCAATTTAAATTTTGTAGTTCTTCCTTAAATATGAATGTACAGCTGGCAAGAGATTACGATTTATTTCCGATCAAATATTAAGTCACTCTCACATCTTTTAGAGGGTATAAAAGTAAACAAACAATATGAAATTTAAATATTAGCCCCATAAGTCATGTAAGTCTTGATTATGGAATGGTGGAATTTTGTTTCAAAATATCATTTTTCGGAAGGTCGCTTACCAGTTAAATTTATAAGTTTTTTACAAATCATGTGCTAGCACACGGTTTTGAGCTGTGCTGATGGAGATCGACAATATCGCGGTTTGTTTTGCTATAATACTGGGGGAGATAGGAGATTGTCATTCCGCATTTTTTGTCGAATTGATATTAAATTCACTGTCGTTTAAGTACAGAATCAATACTGCAGGTATTGTGAAAATTTTGGCAATATCGTTCGTTCGTTATTTTGGGGTTATTATCCTCAAAGACTGACTAAAATTAAACATAATTTGAAGACTATTCAAGAGCTAACAGAACTGAGAATGTTTCCTGAAGATGAAGGGCTAACATATGGAACTGCTCTTAAATGCCAAGGAACGCCGAAGAAATTTCCAAGAACACGGATAAAATTTACTAACTAACAAATGAGAGCATTTATAAATTATGACATTCGAATATAAAATACAAAAAAATATATAAGTTTGATGTAATTTTGATTGCCACTCATGAATGAAAAAATAATTATAATCAGTGTTTCACTTAACAGCGTTACCTAAAATTCAACGTAGCATACACAAATATTCAACTTCTCTAGCATAATAAAATTTTTTGTACGTTCGTGTTACTCAAATCCGCCAGGCCGCTTTCATATAAATACCTGTGTGGTGAAAAACTTGACTGAGTACGTCGAATTCTAGCTGTACAGCCGAGAAATACATCTGACTAATTTTGACGAAATCGGTTCAGATTTGGATATAGCTCCCATATATATGTTCGTTCGATTTCAAGTATATTGTTCAGCGAACGTGTAATAGGATGCATTTTCGCCTAGAAGCAAGTATGTGAAATTTGATGATTTAGCTATAGCTCCGATATACACTGGTGGCTAAAACTAAAGCAACTTAAATCGCAAAGACAATAAATGTCCTGTAACTTTTACAAAAATAAACAAATCGTAATTATTTTTCCAGTTCTAAATGAGGGGTTTAATTCACTTTTAAGAAACTAAAAATAAAAATACAAAAATAATTTTGAACGAAAAATAATGTGTGGAAAACTAAAATGACCCAATTTTTGCTTGGTCAAAACTAAAGCAACTTTTGATTTTTTATTTTAAAATAATTAAATTTTGGCTAGTAGTCGATAGCATCCATTACTTTTGATAGCAGCTGCACACCTACGAGGCATTGAATCTATAACACGCTCAATTTGATCCTTGGGTGTGCTTTCCCAGGCACCCCGAATTCTTTAGAAAATGTTGTGCTTATTTATTTCCGAATCTCTCTTGATCTTCCTATCTACGATACTCCAAAGGTTTTCTAAGGAGTTTAGGTCAGGTGATTGTGCCGGCCATAACAAAACATGAATTTTTGACTCCCGCAACCAATATTTGACAAGTTTTGATACAAGTTTGGGATCATTGTCATGCTGAAACACCCAAATCAGCCGAATATTTTACTCAGCGTAAGGGAACAACGTGATGTCCAACACATCTTTGTAAACAAACCGATCCACAACTTCCTTTATTTTATGGATAGGCCCAAGCCCAAAGAAAGAAAAACAGCGCCACGCCATTTTTGACCCTCCCTCAAGCTTCACTGTACCTTTGCAACACTGTGGCTTGAGTCCTTCATTTTTTGGTCTTCTCACCGTAAAATTTTTCACGTCTGAGCCTTTAATATTAAACGTAGACTCATCCCAGAAATAATGTTTTTTCCATTGAGCTTGATTCCTCTTAATATTATCGTTTCCGAAAGCCTTTTTGATTTTTTCAGATATAAATGGTTTTTTGATGTCTTACGAGCATGCAGATCTGCTACCACTACTCGTCTTCGCACTGATCTCGAGCTTATATCCAATGATTGCTCTCTCACCAATCCAGTTGAACTATTAAATAGTTGTTTTTTATTTCTCTCACAATTTGTGGATCAGTACGGGCTGAAGTTTTTCACGGCCTTCATCCGTTATAGACTGTTACTACTGATCCAGTTTCAAAAAACCGACTTAGTATACAGAAATAATTATGGTTTTTAGCCAATTTTAAATTTTTTTTGGGCAGTACTTAAAAAACGAAAAGAAAAACACATACTGTTGTAAAAAACTTCTCAAAATGGATTTATGACAAGCGAAATTGTCGAAGGAAGCAAAAAGCGATAAATATCACAGTAAAAACAACTGAAATTGCAGCGGTTATATGAATGTACAACAGAGTTGCTTTTGTTTTGTCCAAGCCAAAATCGGGTTAATTGACTTTACCAAACATAATTTTTTATATAAAAATGAATTTTGGTTTTATGTTTTAGGTTTTTAAAAAGTGAATAAAGAACCTAATTTAAAACCAGAAAAACTTTCTCATTTTCTTAATTTTTAAAAAGTTTCTTGCAAGAAACCATGCTTACTTTTATTTGTCCAAATGTATATATAATCTGCCTTCTATCACTTACAATAAGTTTTCTTTCAAACAAATTTTTTTCTCGTTTAAAAAGCATAGTGTAGAATGAGATACATTCAAAATATGTTGTTTCATCCCTATAAGAAATAAGCCACCAAAAAGGCATTCTAAATTATGAAGACCCCCAAGTTTAATTCGTATTCCTTTCAAATGGCGATGGCAACCCTATTCATAGTTCTAACGGCTTACTCGTGAGCTTTGCCAACAGCAAAAAAATTGCAATATTTTTGGTGTGATTATCCTCTTATTGATTACTATGAAATTGACTCTCTTCAAAAGGCTGTGTTGTTTTTTTTTCTTACAACCCAACAACGACCGAACAATCAAACCATTTCACACAACAATAATACAACCTACGACCTCCAACACCGTTACAACTCTCAGCTCAATGTTTCTCTTAACAACCATACCAATTTCACTCTCTTAAGTTTATTTGTTGGGTTCGCCAGTATTCTTCATTATGAAGCTTAAACATAAAGATGATTGTCATACTAAT